CCCCCCCCCCCCCCCAGCATTAAATTCTCCGGTCTCTTGCCGGTACTTATTTATACACTTGGGTGTGGGGAGGTACTGTGAGAGTGACCTTTCTTTCCCAAGAATGTCTCCGGCCAGGGCTCGAACCCGGACCGCTTGATCCGGAGTCGAGTGAACTAACCATGAGACCACCGCGCTGTGCAATGTACGTTACGAATAAAGTCACTAGCATTTTATCACGCATGTGAGAACAATACTAACAACAATGAAGACAGCATGCTAAGCAGGTATGAAGAAACTACAGTGACGATGCATTACAGACTAGTCCAGCGCGCTAGTTAGATAGGGCCACCTTCTTCTTCAGATGATCGATAGCGGGGTGAATGTTTTCTAAGAATGCGGAATCTTACTTTTAAGACATAATCAATTTCCTTTGGATAGGGAGAAGAACAGCAGCTACAAGGCTTATGCGACTTTTCCTATTAAACTCCAGTGCTTAAGGTGATTATCGTATTTCATAACTGTAACATTATTGACACAGAACAGTGGAAGAGAGAGTACGCAGTTCCTACCAGAGGTTATGGTGCCGTCCTCTCCTATACAAGCGCTCTCATTGGGATCTGGAAAAGCACTGCATTTAAATTTATAGGGCCATGTGTGCCCAGACCTCTTCAGCCAAGGCTCGCAGTCACGTCTGGCCGCGCGACACACGGAGCGGCATGGGGGCGTGGGCGGATCACAATCATCAGTACAGGGAGGAAAATACAGTGAGCATAAAAACACGTGCAACACAGATGAACAGTTCGATTGGATCATGCTGGTGAACTGGGACAACTCTTGCTCGGCGTCATTCTGGTTTTGTTGGTTGAAGTGGTTAGGTATCTGGGTTAAGTTGTAGCCGACGTCTTCACAAAGTCGGTTAATGGGCGAGCAATGTCCGGGGACCTCACGGGATGAGATCGGTGGCTCGACTTTGGAATCAAGCTTCTGTCTTAAGGCAGTCTTGTTATCTACAAATGGCGGAAACAGTGATCAAAATACCAAAAATATATATCGAAGCACAAGGCCAACAAGGGGAGTTATATTAGCTCATACAGTAAAAATCTCGCTGACGAACACCTCCTGTACTGAGGCGGACACTTGGTCAAGGTTCCAACCATGCACAATTCAACTTGTAGACTTCAATTTTAACCTGCCATAAAATTGTAACTTCTTCAAGGAAGAACGATTGTGGGAGGTGCGACTATAACAACATTTTTCAAGCAGGAGAACCATAAAAGTATCATTAAACTGTTTGTGGAATTAGGGCTTATTTATGCAGTTGCATCAGACGCCTGACTACGTAAAGTCTTTGCGCCATGATAGTTTCACATATATCTGTAGCTGCTATCTGAGAAGAAAGCAATACTTCTGTTTTTTTGCAAAGCAACTTTTGATCATACGCAGTACTGAAGCAGTTTTTGTCTTCCCTTTAGCGGTGATAGGTGAGAACATGATGGTTTGTCCCCACGGGGGGCGGGGGGGGGGGGGGGGGGGGAGTCCTAAATAAAAAGGACGCGGGTGCTTTTTGTACCTTTGACGGGTTAAAAACACGGTTTTGGTGTCTCCTAGGGTGTTCAGCCTCAAATGGTCCACAGCGGGAGCTATTACGCTACCTTTTACGGTATTGAGCCGAAAAAAATATGACAGGAGATAATGTATCGCTTTAGAATTGGTACCTCTTAGGGCTGAAAAAAAATTCAAGCCTCGCCCACAAAACAGCATCTTGATACCTCTTAGGGGTTCTTGTAAAATTTCCCACGAGCACCCCCGTCCTGTTTGTATGGGAGTTCCCCTCTATTAGTTTTCTCACCTGCTAGAGTTCTGGCATTAATCCAGTTTGTGTAAACTCCTTTCAACTTTCCACTGTTCATCAGCGGCGCAAGCTTGATCTTGTATCGTGTGCCTGGGCGCAGGTTAGTTAGGATATGCCGGTTCATCTGTCGTGGGAAAAAAAAAGCAATTAAGTTTAATGAAAATGTACTCGCGGGTAACTGAAGAAGATCACATCGAGTATCTATAACAGAAATTCATAAGAGAACTGATTTCTTTCTCGGATAAGTTTCTAAACACACAACCTGTACCTTTGCCAAAAAAAAAAAAAAAAAAAAACAAGAAAGAACAGATTTCATGATATGCAAATTAAAATAAACCTTTTTGTCAGTTAATGTTCATGATTAGCTTCAGTGTTACTTTAATGTTATTAGTGCGTTTTTTCTTCTCCTTGCCCTCAGTAACCCCCAGAGAGTTACATTGTCTAAAATCCTGACGCACAGAATTCCATAATTCCAGCGCCACTTTAGGAGAAGCAGCGCTTTGCAAAAGAACTCTGCTGTAGGCTTAGGTAGTAAATGATGGTTAGTCGAGCGAAGACCATTCTGTTGTTTATTGGTGAACTTCAGCCATGCGGTCGATATTATTTTAATAGTCGTATCTAACATGATTGAAAACTTATAAGTGATGACGTACGAAAAGTTCCACGTGCGTTCTCCTTTTTTGGTGCGCTAGAACGGGAACGAAAACGAGGCTGTACCCAACCAGTGAATCGGAGACTTCCTTTGGGGGATCCCACGTGACCAAGAGACTGTTTGGAGACAATGCCTTTACTCGGAGATTCACGATNTTATTGGTGAACTTCAGCCATGCGGTCGATATTATTTTAATAGTCGTATCTAACATGATTGAAAACGTATAAGTGATGACGTACGAAAAGTTCCACGTGCGTTCTCCTTTTTTGGTGCGCGAGAACGGGAACGAAAACGAGGCTGTACCCAACCAGTGAATCGGAGACTTCCTTTGGGGGATCCCACGTGACCAAGAGACTGTTTGGAGACAATGCCTTTACTCGGAGATTCACGATCATGGAAGAACTTCCTGTCTCTGAAATGTAAAAAAATACGGATCTTTAGCAAACCACGATGGCGACACCAACGACAACGTCACCAAACAAAAGGTTTGATCAGCAGAACAATGGTTCTGCACTTGCGATTTGAATCTTGGTTCATTTCTTAAATGTCATTTGCAACACAACAACGTGAAATGACCAAGGTGTATTTTGGAGAACGTGAACCACAATGACTAATTTTTTAAATCTTCTTTTGGAATTGAATGCCGTTATTGCATATTTAGGCCGAGAAAGTTTGTAGATTGATAGGCGCACTGAACAGATCTCTGCACACAGTTGCGACACTCGAAGGTAAAATATAGATAAAATATAAATTCATATTTTATCACAAGGCGTCGTCCTCGGCGTCGCCGTCGTCATTGCTAAAGCTCCCCAATAAAAGAACATCTAATGCAGTGGCAAACATCAAGTCAGATAAGGTTTGTTTGAATTGGCTGCTGCATAATGAGATATGTTCGTAGGTAGAGAAGTCTTCTAGACAGTTATGTTTTTAAATGAATGTTATATATCTTTTGCTTATCACAACAAAGGTAAATAATGTACCATTAACAAAAGGACAGCTGTGTAAGTTGGTGGGAAAACCTGCCTTCTGATTGGTTGAAGAAAAGGTATGTTTGAACTAATCAGTTGAAGCACGTTCTTAAACCCACGGCAGTCCATTGAAGACCAATCTACTGGGTTATAAAAGCATTTAAAATCATTTAAAGGTCGCATGCAGCCTGATGTTTACCCGTGTTAAGTAAAGGGCTTTTGGATGTTTACTTCGTCTGTGTTGACAGTGGAATACTTTCGTAAGAGGCTGGGTTGTGGAGGTGAAAATTACCTTTTGACTGCTTTGTTGCTATTTCTTCACCATAACACTTGGCGATAGCATTAGCTGGCTACACAGAACAATAGTTGGCCGGCTCCGTCGTATTTACATAGCGATAGAGTATCGGATAAATAAACAGAGCTGTGCTGTAGAGCTTTATCGTTTCAAAACAGTGACAAGGACCGACTTATCGACATATTTCCGCTAGTCTTCCCTCTCTTGAACTTTTTATCAGCATCGTGTCTCGAAATTGTATTTTTTTGTCGTGAACAGCACGCGCCAGGTGTAAATTAATTTTCTCAGCTGGTGTTTAAATTAACAATAAATCAGTAAAGCAAATACCTTTTGTATCTGTGGCTTGTACTGGCGTGCCAATCCTTTGATTTTGTTTCGATATGTTTGCGTGAAAAACGAAGTTAAAAGACGATTGCCGAGAAGAAAATATCTTTCAACTTTTCTTTCCTTTGAAAGTGTCTCACTTTGAAAGCCAGAAAACAACAACATCGACTACTTATACGCTGTGAAAACGCCTCCACTGCAACAAGTTGAATGACTTCGATATTTCAATTGAAACACTGGCTTACCTTTCTTTGCGTTGCAGATTAAAAAAACGACTCCAAGCCAACAGAACTCGACAAACTTCATGTTTTTGCTCGATGTTCAGCAAGAGATGATTAGTGCTTTTCTTCCCCTGGTTAACCTGAGCAGTGCTTACAGCAGGCGTTCATCATCGATATGCTTGGTAATACAGCACGTTCGGTCTAAATATGTATTCAGGTTTGTCTGACCACTTATCAGCTGAGACATTCCGTGACATTTCAGAATTTTATTTAAACTATGTGACCTTCTCAACCATTGTGCATCTCTACAGCCCCTGTTTAATGTGTTCCAAGACTTCCAAATATTATCTTTGGAGCGAAAAAGCTCAAAGGTAACTCAAGTGTTACAATTGCAGTAAAATGGACTAAAGATATTTGATAAACTTTCTCTAATTACGATGGACAAAAAAGATATACCATTCTAAAGTTCGAAGATAAATCTGTAACAAGTCTTTCACACCTAAAACTTTTTTTCCCACCACAAAAATTTCTACGGTAATACTTTAATTTTGTTCTTCAAAGTGCTATATACGGCCTAAAGTCACGACGTACCAAACTCTTGCATTGCTAACCTTAACCTTAATCCGATATAGAAGAAACAAACTCTAAAAGCTTTCTTGACGGTCAATTCATTACACAGCTTGAACTGTCAGTGGAGTGTAACTTATCTTATCGCCGGTCATGTCAGTGTATTTCTGTGCACTGATATTAGAAGTGTGGAATTCTCTGGCGCTGACATGTAAAACGTAGCTAATCTGCCTAACCCGTCTGAAGTGTACTGTTCCGAATTCGTCTTGTTCTGCCTCCTCGAAGCTTCTTTTCGTCAAATCAATCATGTTCATTTTGATTCCGCTCTGCGGTTAATTCTCAACGCTTTGGTGTTTGTTTACCTTGGGAAGTCCTTGAATTTTAAAAAGATAATCTTATTTTGTAACAGTACCTTTGTCGTCGCCGATGGATTAGAGTCCACAAATAGGCTTAATCCTCGCTCATAATTAATCCCTAATTATCATCAAGTACGAGGGGTTTCAAATATTGAACTAAATCCTTCCTTCCCGGGTAATTCCTGACTGATCCTAATGACCTTTTATCAGCTGATGACTAGAAACGTAATCCCGTTGAAAAACATGTTTCGTCGGCGCGCAAGTCTGGTCTGTTCAACAGTAACTCCAGTATTGGATACTCCAGACAAATTAAAAATTTTTAAGGCCTTTTGGTGTCACAGAAGGTGAAAACTGACGAAATAATCGTTCATTATTTATGAAAATTAAAAGGGGTTGAGACCAGGGGTGACGGAGATCGAGATAAATTGATGAGACGTAGGTTTGACGCATTTTAAACGATGCACGCCCACGCGGTTAAATTGCAATTTGTCATTTACCTGACATCACAGGAAATCTGCATTTCGGTCATGGATACGTTTTCGTTTTAAATAAAAACAAAATAAATATTACAGACCCGCGCCCACTGTCTTTTTTCCGTCCACATTGGAACCTGATACAGCATACAAGAAAGAAAATATGTTTAATTTGCACGCAATGAATTGCGTATTTTGCGTGGGTCCCTCGTGCAGTACACTCGTTCACTTAAGTGTTTTGTGTTTAAGGTGGACGGTCAGGTCCCCTAGTGGGCGGTGCAATGCCTGCCGACCTACAGTGTCGTCCATCCCCGAAGAGATTGGACCACATGAGGGATAACCATATCGCCCACTAGCTTCGCCGAGAAATCGAACTCCGCCTCCTAAAAATTGCACATCACGGGTTACAGACAGCAAAGGACAAACAAGCAACATGAAACACAACATGAACAACATGAAAAACAAGACAACAGGAAAACTTCGTGCGATAAAACCAATAAAAGCGACCAGTAGCGAAGAACAAAATAAAGGACAAACAGGACACGAGGCAGGAACGGACCCCAAGTCTTGACAGATGCGACAAGCACAAGAAGAAGAAAAACGTTTGTTCTACTCGTGCTTAAGCTTGTGTTGTGCGCGTGCTCACTACCGTGCGCTTTATTGTGGGCGACCTGACTTCCGTTATGCTTACGCTTCAGTCGTAACGTTCTCACAATCTCTCAGTTCAACGTGAAACCCCGCGCGAGAGACTACGCTCAAGTAATTTGTTTAGACCTCAGTGTATGGTAAAATAGAATTATTTCAACGACAGTTAATTTAAGAAAAAATGTAACTTTTGAGTGGGAGTATTTAACAGTTATAACGTGTCAATACATCGAGATCATCGAATTAGAATTTCCCGGGAGACTTAGTTCATGTCGAGGGAGGAAAACCGAACCCAAAGAAAAACCCTCAGTACAGTTTATACCAGGCCGAGTCCAGGATTCGAACCCATGAGTGCATTCAGTACTCCTCATTGATTCATTAGTGCTCCCCGTCGAAACCGGATTATTTTTTCTATTGTATGGCTAGCTCCGTGAGCGGGCAAGATGAATCAAATCCTGCGTTGTGATTGGCTACCCGAGCGGGCAAGATGGAGCTATCTTG